ATCTTCCAGATAAAAATGGCTTCCCTAACTGCTTTTGCAAAGATAGAAATAGGAACACCGGGAGAAGCCAAGATAGAGAGCCAGGAGCCATAAAATTCAGCTCTCCTCGCTGCTTGTGAGGTCCCCAGAGCTCCAGAGAACACCACTGCAAGGAAATAAGAGACCAAATCACATACAGAAAATGCAAATGTTTAGTGAGAGCTGTAAGGTTCCATGTGAATGAGGGCCACTATTACATGAAATATAAAGTTTTCTTATCACCTTAAAGTTAAGCAAGCATAAAGAATAATGTGAACAAGGTCACTGTTGAGATGGCTCAGCTGGTAAAGGCTCCAGTGGCCAAGCCTGATGCCTTGAGAAGGCAGAATTAGATGCCCAAACCCCACACGGCGAAAAGATACAGCCAACTCCCTCAAGCTGCCTCTGACCCCCAAAAGAGCATTAGCAATGGGTACACACATGTGCGCAAAAAGGAATAAATATATGGTAAATGCAACTTTAAAAAAATAGCACCATTCCAGAAGACCTAGAAACATAGAAAATGAAGAAGAGAATAAAAGGACGGTTTAAAATCTGATGACAACCTGCCTGCCTGACTCTTTATAACATCAACAAAAGTAAAATAAACCACTTACTATGAACCTCACCTGAGCCAGACCACAGCCAAATCTAAAGCCCTCTATCTCCTCTGCACAGGGCCCTTGAGAAACACTATTGTTTCACTTATACTAGTGAAGAAAAGGGAGCCTTAGAATTTTAGGAATCGCTGAAATTATACAGGCAGGCCTTACATTTAAGGGTATCAAAGCATGAACAGGCAACACATTCCAAAGTCATTTATTTCTATAAGATTTAAAGTCTTTGCCTGATGAGCCCAAAATGTGGCATGGCGGTGTCCAACAACATCCAGAAACAATCCCAGCTCACATCTGCTTCACACCATGATTAGAAATGCAGACACCTCATAGTCCTTACAAGTGTCCAGGTTTATACAATAAATTACATAGTCACCCAGCCACAATGCCACAAGCCCACTGTGAAACAGCTATACAGTTTTCCAGGACCCATGAAAAATAAAAATGAGACGTCCTTGTTCAAAACACAGGGAGGAAAATGCTAGCAAAGGTACAGAAATGCAAGACTGATTTTCTTTCATGTACCTGCTAGGGTTTTGCTCTCTTGCCCCATCTGACATCATTTGCAAAAGCGACGTTGAAAGATAAAATTAGTAACAATTTCAAGATGGCAGAGGACTGACATTAAACCAAGCATGGACCCTTCTAAGCACAGAGCGCTGAGCCACATATACGTTTATGCACACCTGTGCATATATATGTACCAGATACACAGCTCCAAGGGCTACTCAAATGGTCTATGATTCCATACTGTGTCACGGACTGAAAAAAAGAAAGCAAGACACAACCAACTATTGTCCAGACTTGGAAATTAAATACTGGTTATTAATTCTACGAAACCACTTATCTAGAAATGTCTTCTAGTATTTCTAACAAAGCACAAAATTTTATTTCCAAAGCATAAGAAGAAAAACACAAGCAAATTGGGTCACTCTGCACCATCTTATCTATGCAGCCTTCATTTAAATAATGTAACTCACCCATGATCGATATGAAAATTCAGAACATGTTATAGGAAATGATAGTGAAATGCAGGGTAAATTTGAAGCTTAAGGTTTAAAAAAACAGGATGGAAGATGGAAGAGATAAAGGACAAGTCAGTTCATTGAGTCATCAATTCATTCAGCAAACACTGATTTATCACATATAACATTAGAAGCCCTGCACAAAACTGAGGTTGGGACGAGCAAGAAATAGTCTTGTCAGCTGGGATCTGCTAGAACAAAGCACAAGGAAACAAGTGGGTCACGAACCGCTTTAGCTACCAGCAGAATGGGTATAAAGCAGGAAATATCCATGGGGAAAGACAATGGAGCCATGAAGCCCAGCTGGACTCTACCAGGTACAGAAGAAAAGCCCTCCCCAAGTACAGGGCAGGCCAGGTGTGGCAGCACACTCTAGTGACCCCAGCAAGGGTCAGAGGGTTGGGGGAATAGACCCCTGAGGATGATTAGTTCAAGGCCAGCCTGAGCTACAACAGCAAAACATACTGTCAAGGTTAACATAGGACTGCGAAAGCACAGCACACTCTGGAAAGGGCCTGTCACTCTTAAGTGACAGCCGCCTTAAAGCAAACGTGTTCCTGAGGAGTAATGATGGTGTGTTACAGAGGGGGGAAATGGTGATGGAACTGTTAAAGACCTTGGGGACAGTATAGAAAAGCATTCTACCCTCAAAAGGCCAAAGGGTCCAGCTGGGGAGACAGGACTAGAAAGAGGTAAGACCTGGCCCTGTGACTTTTCTTTAAGGGAGATGCCGTTTTGTTTGCCAATTTGTGAGCATGTGTAAACATATGTTTTTGGTACAGCTAAATGTGTTTTCTACCTCTTCTTCTTCCTCTTTCTAATAAAGATATGAGTCACCCTTCAACTATGTAAGTGGCTTAAAGCAAAGGCCCAAATGTTAAATGATGAGCAGTTTGATAAATGTGCAAATACAACTTAAGAAGTAACTGTCAGTTTTGGGGTTTTTGTTTTGTTTGTTTGTTTGTTTGTTTGTTTTGGCAATGAGCTTGCCAGGAATTTGTTCAATGCTATGGTTAGCTTTTCAAATAAAAAAAACAAAACTGTTACTGGTTGTCTCCATTTCTTATCATTCCTTTAGAATGGGTTCCTAGAAAAGAAATTTTCAGGCCAAACAATATGAATATTTTTAAGCTTTTGGCACAAATGAGCCTAGTGTAATATGAAAACTAACTGGACACATCAACTGCAAATGACCAAGCAAAACTCAAAGGGGATGTAATGCTGCTGCAAATAATTTCCTGAAGAGAAAAGTGGAAAAATGTGCTATGAATTGTTGTTAGGTATTGAATGGTTGTGACAAAAAGACGCCAAAGTTAATTTTAAAAATCACATCCAGGGTTCCAGGCATGGAGGTTCTTAGCTCTAATATCAGCACATTGGAGGCTGGGAAGATTGGAAGGCATGAGTCTGGGCTGTGTGCTTAGTTTCAGGCCAGCTCTGGGTGACTGAATGGTACTGTTTCTCGATAGATAGATAGATAGATAGATAGATAGATAGATAGATAGATAGAAAAATAAAAGGAAAAAGAAAGAAGGAAGAAAGACTTGAGGACAGCAAGTGCATTTACCTAAAAATATGCAAGCTCACATAATGGACAGAATCAGAGCTTATGATTTCTAAATAATGAGCAGAATAATATCCCTAAAGAGAAAATGCAATTGATTTTCTACTTCTTACTTCCATTATCTCTTGTTTCACTATTACAGCAATAATGAGATTTTAATTCTAACAATCAGTATCCACATCAGAGGGAAAATTGACATTTTCTTTGTATTTTACTTCATTTCATTTTATTCGTGAAACAGGGTCTCTCTGTGTAACCCAGGCTGTCCTGGAATTCCCTCTGTAGACCAGGCTGGCCTCCAACTCTGCAGCCCAAGCGCTGGGATTGAAGGCATGTGCCCCTGTGCCTGTCAAAAACTGACATCTTAAGTAAAGATCAACAAGTTGGTTTTTGAGCCAGGGCCTGAAAACGTGCCTATTTCTGCACTCATCTATTTTCAGAAAGGCTGTCTCTAAGAACGACTCAGACTCCTCAGATCCAAAGACTTAGTTCTCAACAGTTTCGTGAAAGTCAAGGTGGAAACGCTCTAAGTTCTATCTCCTTAAAACCAACGTTCTTGTCAGCAACTGCTACGTGACCACATAATCACCCTACCTATCGCTAGTTATCAGGGCGTTCTGCCAACACGTGTACCTTCTCAAAGAGCCTGGCCAGAGGGGCTTGGATAAACTGAATTTGAGAAGCCAACCTGTACGTCGTGGTGCATTTCCTGAGACACTAATCTTTCCTTCCTGATACAGCCAGCTTCTACAGGGTGACAGCTAGCACAAATTTCACAGATCAAACGAAACTCCGGGAGGAAGTTCGGTATTTGAAACATTTCCCTTCCAACCTAGGCTCGGGGATGGGGGATGGGGGGGTGGAGAGGAGCTGGAGGACCAGGGTCGGGTTTTGGAGAAGCTGGACGACCAGCTTCTTCCTTGAAGGATGCTGTCACATGGATCAGGATGGACAGGCACGGACTAAATTCTTTGTCTACTCAGCAGCGAGGACAATTCCGCCTCTAGGTGATGCCTTAGAAGTTCATTTTCCCAGTTTCTCCTCTCCTGTATGAAACTTGAAGGAACCGCTGATTTGGGGGGGGGGGGGGGGGAATTCCAACGGGTCAAGCTGGGACCTGGAAACAGCTCCAGCCCAGCCTAGAAAACCCTGAAGTTGTCAGGCGCGAGGCGAGTTTTATGACGCTGCCCTCACCGGGTCGGCATACACGGAGGACCGGGAACCCAGTGGAGAATGGAGATTTGTAGGGCTGGGAGGGAGGGCGCACACATGTGGCTTTAATATGCAACAGCTGCCAGAGATGGTGACCCCCTCTGCTCTTTCCCCTCCGCCTCCCTCCCCCCTCCGAACCCGACGTTTCAACGATCATAAACCCAAAGGGACTTCAGGGCTATTGATCTAATTAATAACCCGAGTCCGGCAGCATCACGTTCAAGGACGTTTTAAACCCCGCGTGCACCCGAAGGTAGCGATTTCGAGGAGGAAAGCAAAGCTTTTAAACAAAATCTGAGCGGAGAGAAAGGGGGGATGAAAGAAAATGACACAATGAAATCAGCCCCGAGAGATGGATAAGGCAAATGGTGCGCGGATGGGACAGGCAGAGCGCCTGCAGGTTAACTTCTCCCACGGGAGTTCTTCAGGGCCCCGGGCGCTCTGTGCGTGTCCAGCCACGAGCCCCTCCGAAGGGGTCCGTCCCGGCGCCACCCACACGGACGCCGGCTGCCGGCGCAGACAATGCTCGGGGACCCGGTGCCTTGCGCGGGGCGGGCCACTCACCGACACCAGGAACTCCAGGGTGCCCACGTAGTCGCGCTCGGTCTTCTGCAGCTCGCTGAGCACGCACACGCGCAGGCGGAGCTGCTTGTCCGCGTCCCTGGCGCTCTCGTCGCTCATGGTGGCCGGAGGGACCCGGGGCCGGGAGGGGGGGTGGAGGGGGGAACGAGCGCGCTGCCCCGCGCCCGACGCCTCCGCTGCCGCCCGCAAAGTTGCAGCCGAGTCCGAGCCGGAGCGCGCCGCTTCACATACTGGCCGGAGGAGGAGGACGCCGGGGCGTGGGCGGAGGAGGGTGCTCGGGCTGCGGCGAGCCGCGCGCGGGAGGCGCGGGGCACCGGACGGGACACTCCCCGGAGAGCGGGAGCCCGGCTCGGCCCGACGCTCTGGCCTCACGCGGCCCCAGCCCGAGGGGAGGCGGCTCCGCCAGCCACAGCGGTGACTTGGACATCAATCAAATGCTTTCAATCCATGTGACTCCGACCCTTTACCCTTAGCCAAATCTCAGGAAAAAGGAAACACAACCCTGGGGAAGCGTATCATGCCAGCTAACTAAACACACACACACACACACACACACACACACACACACAGGATGGAACTAATCAGAGGTTCCCAAACCTAGAAGGACACTTGTGAGATGGCTAGAGAGCTGCTCCTGGGAATCCCGCCCATTGTTTAGCTTTAATGTGTTTTGCACCAAGTCTGAAAAGCAAAGAAACAAGTCCCCGCGGTTACATAACTGCTTGGGAACAAAAACAACCACAAGCACTGACCCTCCCGCGTTTGACAAGGAACACATTGATTTTGGGTTTTAGTCTAGTACAAAACAGGTTTGATTAAAAAAAAAAAAAAAAAAAACGAGCAGTATTATTTCACGGGGCAGACAACCCTCTGCCAAAGCTTGAAATGTCAATTAAAGTGATAAATGAGGACAGTAGACAAAAGTGACAGCTCTTTTCTGTGCTTTGCCCCCACACGGAATAAGTGTCACGCTGGCTAAGTACTTCTTAGCACCGTTGTGTGTCTTCAATTATTTTTCAGTCTCAGCATAGTATTTTAATATTGGTATAAATTCAAGGGTGTTTGTTCTCATCTGTTTCCAAGAATTGTGGTTTTAAAGAGATAAAAATGTTGAATGGTCTTCAGAAGACAAATAGTAGGAAGATAGTTGGTGATGGTACATAGTAGATGGTTGAGAGATGATACCTAAAAGACAGGTAGATAATTGACGGAAGATAGATAATAGTTATACCATAAGTTATCTTCGGTTTTGAAGATGGAAAGACCGAAGCATTTGGTTTTCATGTTTAAGTTTATTGAGTTCTCTCTTGGGAACAAAACCAGGACCTACAAATCCAACAAAGCAAGTGATCCATTTGCATTTCTCTCTAGATAGTATCCACATATACTTTCAGAGCTATTTTTCCACGTAATGACATTTAAATAAGTGGAATGAACACTTGAGATGCGAGGAAGAGGCAGCCAAACTTGTTCCAAGAGTTGGCAGCCTGAGAGAAACTAAAGACGCTTTCGTCAGCATTTACACTAAAATAATTCCCAGTTTCCCTAAGTCTTTTCAAGGTATGATGGTGACTTTCATGAAACAAAGGGGAATTGTGCCTTCTTCTTGTATTGAAGACTCAATATTTGAATAACACGAGTGGCACTGAAGGAAAAGGTGGCTTTCTCATTTCTGTTGCATCTGGCTATTTAGAGGCAGCCAGAAGCAAAGGGCAAATAGTGTGGACAGCTTCACACTGTGACGGAAGAACAAAGGACAAGGCACATTAAAGACAGACCTCACAGCACCTGGTAAACAATAAACAAAAGAACCCAGAAGGCACAGGAAATGCATCCAGACGCTAGTGAGAAGTTCAAACAGGACTTAACCTCTTCACGTTCTACAGGTAGTGAGGCGTGAAAGCATTTCTTGCTCCCAAGTGAAAAAACTGAAGTAAACAAAACACGTTTCCATCCAGGGCACTGAATGAAATAGAATGTTTTCTCTTGTCAGTTGTTACCAATAATAAAATCACAATGCAATTTTTTTCTTATCAAGACTCTTCATCCATAGATAGACCACTGGAGTAATCATCTCACACTGGATGCAAAGTACTTGAATCTGAATCGCCATTGAGGTATTACTCATCCAAAAACGTTTGTCCTGTTCTACAGGCATGCCTGGGAGACTGCTATGAAAACGTCGCCATGCTAGGGTCTGAGGATCATGAAGGCCACGGGTGCTAGGAAAATATTTCTCAATGAGTCACAGACCATTGCAGTACAGTCACTTGAGGTCGTGTTAAAATGAATGTTCCTGAGCCTACCCCCCATTTTTCCTTTTATTATTTCAGGTTACTACATCCTATATTCTTTCAATGAGGTCCTCAGATTCATAGACTCACTATCTAAGGTCTTACTTACAGTTGAGCCAGGGAAAGGATCAGGCATTTTAAATAATTCCAGTAAAAGACAAGCATCAATAATTGCTTTGGGGAGGAAAAAAAGTGAAGCCAACAGAAAGATACTCATTTTAGTTGTGTGAAATTCTTATTTCTCTCGGAAACGCCTGTGCAGAATTGTTGTGCTGTTTGTGGCTTCTGCCCTCATTTCTCCTCCATCTGCGCCTCAGTATCGTCTGTAATTAAGGAACGACTGCAGGACACCTTGTAGTGCATTCTGCCAGGGTCTCTTCTGAGAGGACTCTCACAGAGACCTCGGCAGCCCTGGCTGGAGTCCTTAATTCCTCATCAAAGGCTGAAGAGCATAAGAAAACAGGGCTAGAGTATCTGGAAACTTTCACTTTGATGGTAAATAAGGTCTTTCACAGACTCTGAATGTGTTGTGTCCCTTCCCACTTCCTCTATTGAAACTTCAGGCTATGCCTGCCAGGAAAAGGAAAGCAACAAGCAAGATGATGGACAAGATCCAGTTTTTTTTTTTTTTCCTTGAAATACTAATGAGGTTAAGGCCTTCAATAAAAAAGAAATGGGGGAAAGAAGATAGAAATGGCTGAGTTCTGGGCTAGTTCAGCCATTAAATTTATTTCATATGCATGAACTTGGTGCAGCTAGAATCTATTATAAAGCTCAAAGAGCCCAAGGGCAGAGCACAGTGGGCTTCTTTTGGTCAGGCCCAAAGAAGAACTACTCTGGCCTGACAGGCTGAAAAATGCAAGTCTGCCTCTCAGCAAGGAGAGAGCTCTCCAGATGTATTTCAGAGACCAGTCATATTTGTCTCTTCAACATTTCAGTCCTGCTTTCTGCTCAGGAAAAGTCATAGATCAAACCTGATGCCAGTTCAGTAAAAGGATTGAGAGCTTAAAAACAAAAGACAAGACTGCTCTACTGCATGACCATCTTGTGTAATAGAAGCTAGTCTTTGGTATCTCCCTAAAGGTCTATGGAAGATGACTCTGTGTCATCTTAATAGACAAAAAAAAAGGTAGATACTATAGAGGCACATTATATCTTGCATTATATCTAGGTGCATTATCCCTAGCGGACTTGAGCAAGGGGTGATCTCTAAGACTGTTTATAAATTTAGGTTCCAGTTCATGCTTAATCCCCCAGTTCCTCACACTTCAGTTTGCTTACAATTTAGTCAGATCAAGGGCAGCATGCTCTGGAGCATATCATTACATCTGTCTTACTCTTAGGAGGTGAATAGCAAAAATGACAAACTATAGTGCTCATAAGTCAAATTTTAATTTCTGATGTAATACTGTAGAGCATAGAGAACAAATCAAATGTGTGAGTGGTGACACTTGAGCAAGAGTCTAGATTTCTCTCCAAGTGAACTTGATTAAGAACCAGCCACTCTCATAGTTCTGATCTATCATACCATGAGAAATCCTGTTCTCATTATGAAAACTTAACCTACTAACATCCCAGTGAAATAAACAGCCATGAGTCTGTTATTCATCTCAGAAAAAAAAAATCATCCTTTCGGTGTCCATCTCCCTGCAGAGCCTTTTGAATACTTCCTCAAAATAGGTCTCTGTGTCTTTAGACATCTTCAAACATCTCCATATTTCTCTCCTCCAGAGCTCTTTACATTGTCTTTAGTTGGGAAACTAGCACTGCCCAGCATAAACTTATCCTCATCCACATGTTCGTAACTGAGACCGTTCCTTCCAAGATGAAAGATCAACGCACACAGGTGTGACCATGTGAGGCAATGTCAAAAAAAGAGCCTCACTTGGATTATAACCAGGTGGGAAGCATATAAGTTCTGTTTGTTTGTTTGGGTTGGTTGTTTTGAAATAATCTTGCTACATCGCCCAGGCTAGCTTAAAACTCACTATATAGATGGCCTCAAACTCTTGATCCTCCCACCTCAACCTCCCAAATGGTGGGACTGATTATAGATATGCCACAGTATGCCCAATTTACATGACCTGTTAAACACGGAAACCCTTCCCAGGCATTACTACAGCAGGGAATGAAGCTATGGAGGGGTGACAGAAGATGCAACAGTGCTAACTTTGCAGGGGGGAAAGTGGGTCCACGCCAAGGACCACGGGCAGCCTGTAGGATCTGGGAGAAGCAAGGCTCTTAGAAAACCCGAGGGAACATAGCCTTGTTAATGGCTAGATTTTAACCCAGTATGATTTACATTGTCCCACTATCCCTCAGAACTGTGTAAGGGTAGATATATGTTTAATGAATCACTGAGTTTGTGGCAATAATTTGTTTCCTTCATTTCTTTACCTTTCAGTCTTTTTTTTCAGCCCCTCTAACGTGGGTCTTTACTGCCATGACTGATCTTTAACTCTCACCTACTGTTTCTGTTTCTTCTTGCATTGAAGGCTCTTCATTCCTTGCACCATGTGACCTTGCCAGGGCTTTCCACAGTGTTGACTATCTCTCATCCAAGCAAGTCTCTATTGCTCCTCTGTGTGGTGATTTAAATAGGAAAGGGCCCCACAGGCTCATATGATTGAATGCTTAGTCGTCAGGGAGTGGCACTACTTGAGAGAGATTAAGAGAGGTAACCTTATTGGAGTATGTGGGGCCTTGTTGAAGAAAGTTTGTCACTAGGGGTGAGCTTTGAGGTTTCAAAAGCCCAAGCCAGGCCCAATGGCTCTCTTCCTGCTGCCTGTGGATCCAGATGTAGAACTTTCCATCTTCCTACATGCTACAGTGATTCCTGCCATGCTGATAATGGACTAAACCCCTGAAACTGTAAGCAAGCCCCAATTAAACGCTTTCCTTTAGAGGGATTGCCATAGTCCTGGCCTCTCCTCACAGCGATAGAACATTAAAAGATTTTGGTTTCTGTGGCCACATTTTTGTCTCAGCTTCCTTTTGATTC